AATCTTAAAAAACATTTTTAACGTTTAACATTCAGATGAATTCAGATTCTTAATTCACGATTTATGGAAGATATTTAAAAAATCAATAAAAATTAACTACTCCTGAAAAGGATTAATTTTTTAAAAGATTAAAAAAATTATATTCGAAAAAAACACAGTTAACTTAAAAAAAAACATTCCGACAGAATAAAGGCCTATAAAAAATTCACGAGTTTTAGAAGATATTTTAATAACCCCTAAAACCCCCAAATCCATGTAAAAATGTGGCAAAAACATCAAAATACCCAATATCGGGAAGTACTGTTTATGGGGGCTATACGAAAATATGGACCTATACACACAATGTTCCGCCACCGGAACTAGAACCCATTAGGACCTACATATACCAACTTTTAGACAAATCCGTGGAAAAATGTGGCAAAAATCATTAAAATGACTTATATCAGGAGGTACCGTTATATGGGGGCAATACGAAAACGTGGACCTATACATACAATATTCCGCCACTGGAGCTAAAACCTATTATGACATACCTATAACAATTTTTAGACAATTCCGTGGAAAAAAGTGGCAAATATCATCGAAATACCGAAAATCGGGAGGTACCGTTATTTGGGGGCTATACCAAAATGTGGACCGATATATCTCATTTTCAATACCAACCATCCTAGACACAATACAAATTGTTTTGCCAAATTTTGAATCTCTACGTGAAATAATGTTGGCTGTATCGTGATTTCTGGGGATCTATAAAATCCAAATTTTTACCATGAAGACCTTGAAAAAAATATTTTAAAAAATCAAACGTTCGTTCTAGAAAATTTTTTGAAAACACGATTTCGGTTCGGAAAATAGAAAAGATTATGAAAAAAATCCTCTCTTAAGTTTAAACATTATTTGGTACAAATTTAATAATTTTCAAAAAAAAAAATAAATTCCGTTAAAAATTCTGTTAAAATCTTAAAAATACCGAATGTAGCCGTATATTAGGGTCTATACGACGACGTGGAACTTCATAGGCACCTTTTGTCACAAGCTATTACAATATTCAAATGCGAAACTTGAAAAAAAATCTATTTATGATGTAGCTAAAATCATCAAAATACCGAATGTATTGAGGTGCCATGGGGGTTATAGAACGTGGACATACACAGACAATTTTCTGTCATAGGCTTTAGTATCCATTACGAACTTCAAATACACAATTTGAAATAATTCCGGTAAATAATGTCGCTAAAATCATCAAAATACCGAATATCGGGGGGTACCGTTATATGGGGGCTATACGAAGACGTGGATCTGCACAGACAATTTTCTGTCATAGGCTGTAGTATCCATTACGAACTTCAAATACCAAAATTGAAACAATTCCGGTAAATAATATCACTAAAATCATAAAAATACCGAATATCGGGGGGTACCGTTACATGGGGGCTATAGGAAGACGTGGTAGGTCCAAGGCCCATTTTTTGTCTTAAGCCGTAGTAACTATTACGAACTTTTAATATTATTTTTGAAACAATTCCGGTAAATAATGCCGCTAAAATCATCAAAATACCGCATATCGGGAGGTACGGTTATATGGGGGCTATAAGAAGACGTGGACCTACATGGCTCATTTTCAATACCAAAAGTCCTGCAGACATAATACACATTTGAGTAAAATTTTATCAATCTACTTCATTTCGTTCGTAAGCTAGAGTGATTTCCACAGACGAACAGACGGACGGACATCGCCAAATCGACATAGAATTTTATGCTGATCAAGAATATATATAATTTGTGGGGTCTAAAATGTATATTTCGATTTGTTACAAACGGCATGACAAACTTAATATACCCTCCATACTATGGTGGAGGGTATAAAAATAATCTGACAAAATAAAAAGCCTCTACGATGCCGTGGATCTGCATAGATTTTCTGTCTTAGGTTATAGTATCCATTACGAACTTCAAATCATTAAAATGCCGAATGTCGGGAGTTATTGTTACATAGGCCTATACGAAGGCGAGGACCTGCATAAACAATTTTCTGTCATAGACTGTAGTTCCCATTACGAAATCTAAATACGAAGTTTGAAACAATTCTGGTGAATAATGTCCCTAAAATCAGGGGGTACCGTTATATGGGGGCTATACCATATCGTGGACCAATATAGCCCATCTTCGAACTTGACCAGCCTGCAGACAAAAGACTGATCTGTGCAATCTTCTTGCTTCCTATCGTTATTAGTTTTGACTCTAGCCTGATTACAACAGATGGACAGACGGATAGACGAACGGACGGTCAGGGCTAAATCGTCTTAGAATTTTGCCCGTTGTTATGTCTAAAATTATTATCTCGATGAATTACAAACGGAATGAAGAATTCAATATACCCTCCATACTTTGTATGGTGGAGGGTATTAAAATAGCATTATTACACCAGCCAGTTAGAAGGACAGTACTAAATCGAATACAAATGTTCTGAAACAGATTTCATCCAAACATACTTTTACTTCGATGACTAAATCGTCATCAAATGTCCTGAAATGGATTTCATCTTAAGATGGAAGTAAAAACGCTATTTTGATGTGATATATACCCTTTGTAGATTTTTAGGGTATAAACAATAAATTGTGTATTGCCAGGGGAGCATTGCTTTCGCCTTTTCTTTACGAAACAAAAATTGTTCATCTCAAATTCGAATCTATTTATACTCAAATATCTATATGGTAATGTATTAACCGGTATCCAACATTTACAGCCCCAACATTTTTCAAAGCGTTTTAGGGAATTCTGTCATGTCCGCTGGATTCTTGTTCGGCCAAGTGCATTGTTTGTGCTAATATTAAGTATTTGCAAATTAACTAAACGCCCTCAACGGCTTTTATTTCTAATATATATATTTTTCTTGAACACAGCGCATTTCAAATAATATAACTCAAAAAACTCGAACCCCCCAACCATAATTATAGTTAACCTTGGTCATAATCTTTGGATTTAATAAAAATATACATATATGTTTTTTTCGCAAATTCCTATACACACACACACACGTTTTTAAAATTGAAAATTCCAGCAACAATAAAACAAATGAATAATATTTATTATTTATCCCATGCTAATCAATTAAAGTATGTTGTGTGTTGGCCCTATAATAGCAAAAACAAATACACACACCCGTGCAGAATGTTTGACCAACCAACCAACCAACCGACATGCCCAGTCGCTTGCTCCACGATAACTTAGATTTTACGTGTGTGTGTCCGTCTGGCTGTCAATTAGACTGGCTTTTTGGACGTCTGGTTAGTTGGTGGAGACTTCCACTGATTATTGCCGGGTAAAAATTTCTTCTTTCACCAGAAGAAAGCGATGAACAAATGTTCTGCGAATTGGTTTATCATTTGATAATACCTGATGTATATACGTACGTATACGCAAATGTGAAGATGATAACAAGTGGCGTACAGTGGTCTCTCGGTAAATCGAAACATTTCAAAATACCTAGGTATATAATGTCAATAAAAATAGGCGACTAATAATTAATTTTTACGTAGAACAAGAAAAATAGTATCAGTCGACGGATGTATACCCCAAGACTGAGAGTTGAGTGACCGATATATCCCAATTCCACACCAGACCTTGAAATAATTAAAATATTGTGATGTGTGTAATTTGAAGAGAACCGGATGCTTATTTCAGATTTTATGATCGTTTTGGTTATTGAAAACTTTGATCCTTTGTGAGGGAGGTACCAGAAGGAATGGTCCGATCTACAAAATCTTTATAACAGATCTTGCGTTGATGAAAATATTGAGATGTACTAAGTCTGAATCGAATCGAATGTTAATTTCGTGTTTTATGAGCTTCATGAATATTCAAAATTTTGACCCTTTGTGTTGGGGAGGCACCAGAAGGAGTCGACCGATATATTCCATCTTCACACCAGACCTTGGATTAATAAAAATATAGTGATGTGTGTAATTTAAGAACAATCGGACACTTACATCATATTTTGTAAGAGTTCTAATTATTCAAAATTGTGACTCTTTGTGGAGAGGTACCAGAAGGAGTGGACCGATATTGTCCATTTTCGCACCTGACCTAGCACGGATGCAAATATTAAGATTTGCAAAGTTGCAGCAAAATCGAATTATCCATTCCCTTTCTGTGCAGTAAATTATTTTCTTTGAAAATTTTGACATTTTGTAGGGGAGATACCACAAGGAGTGTACCGATATCGCCCATCCCCGAACTCGATCTAAGTTTGATAATAATATTACGGTGATCCAAGTTTTGATTAAATCAGATAATCCCATCGTTAGATCGACTTCAACTGTCCTAAAATAGGTTTGGTCCAAAGAGACCTAGGGTCTAAAACCATTATTTCGATGAGGCAAGTTTTGGCCGTAACAAATGATATATAGCCTCCTCTCTAGCCATATGGCTAAGATATAATACATTTGCCTTTAATGTCATCGCCCTAAATCATGCGATTAACCGTCTTCACACTATTTGGGGTTATGTTAATGCTCATGTCTATACAGACGAGTCCGATTCAATTGACGCATTGGAAGAAGTTACATCGAAGCATTTATTTGAGAATTACCGGCCGAAATGTTGGAAAGAATATGCCAAAATTGGATTAACCATTTGAGGCTCGGTCGTGCTCATCATGTGTTTGAAATAATCTTCAAACATTAAATATAGCTGCTGTTAATTATGCACAACCCACTGTACAACCTTTACAACCGATAAGAAAATACTATGCCGGCAGACGACAACAAATATTTTCGTGCATGCCGATTAATAAAACAAAAAAAGTGAATACTCATTTCCGAACAACGAAAAATTAGCCGAACTTGAGCAGTAAACACAATTGCAAAAAAAAGGAAATAATAAAATAATCTATTGATTGCGATAATAACTAAAAAAGAACTTGTGCTAATCTCCTCAAAAAGCAATAGCGCGCCTCAGCCAGTCAGAAGTATGAAACCTTTAAATACCGGTCTCCAGGCGATTGCAAGACAAGTTTTACGAACGACGCTAACGTGTCAACAACGCACGACAAAAAAGGTCTTCGATCAACGAAGACTCGGAAACTAATCCGGGAGAGAAAGTAACGAAAACCAAAACGCAATTGTGTGTACAGTACATCAGTGGAGCATAACTTAATTTCTTTGCACAACAAAGAGTACCCCCCAAAAAAAGTGAGTGAAATTTATCAAACAAAAACAAAGCACCAAGAATCGATGAGAATATACAGTTGTGTGAGCACGGAAGAGAGAGAGTGTGTGTTACACTGCCTTTACACGGTGACATTTTTTAACCATGCCATTTTTTTTTGTTGGTAAAAGGTGTAGAGAGACAAGGATAGAAGAAAAAATGGCACGATAAGCCACCGCACAGGGTTACATGCCATTTTCTTTGCATTTCTCTTTTTGCTTCTTCCGAATTTTTTATGATTTTGACATTTCATATCGTTTCTTTATTGTAATTTTTGATGCGTTTCTTTTATTGTGATGTTATGTTTTTAGTGATTGAATTGTATAGTGAATTATATGAAAATTAAAAAGTAAAGTATTAAAAAGTAAAAAAGAAAGTTAAAATAAAAGTTAATAATGCAATATTTAACACCTCAATAACTTTTTCCATCATTTCTTCTTTAGATTCACACATTTAATTTTAAATCACTTCTTTATAAATATCTGTTACAAACAATTAGCTCTATACGAAATACTGAATAAAATAAAATGTCAGAAAAAATGCCAAGCACTATTATCGTAAAATGCCACCGTGTAAAGGCGCGAAGATTTACGCAGAAATTTTAAAAGAGAATTGATAAAAATGCCAGCTAAAAATTGCACCGTGTAAAGGCAGTGTTAGAAATTTAATGAACTGAGAAAACTTTGCAAATTCTTTCATTATTATGTTTGCTTTGGCTGACCGACACATGTGCTTGCTTCGTGTTCTCTTTGCCAATTTAAACGACGTTCAACCCAAACAGCCGCCAGCCAGCCAGGCAACAAGAAATGCCACATAAAAATAAGATCAACTGTTCATTTGTATCTGGTGTATGGCGTTGAACGGGTGGTTAAATTACAGTTGTTCGGAAACGTAAACGTGACTTGAACAGAATAAAAGCACTCATTGAATAAAGAAAGAAATAAGCAAAAGAAGAGAGTTACAGGAGTAACCCAATTGACTGCACCCACGTATGTACGTGCAAAAAAGTATTTAAAAAAACAAAAGAAAATTGTGAATTAAAAAAAAAAAACTAAAAAGATAAACAAAAAATCTCTAGTGAAACATTAGAAATTCTATCCCCTCTAAAATGTGCATAAATTTTACGGCAAGTTTTCAAGGGCAAATCTTTGGCTGTCGCCTCTGTGGTTATTGTTCTCCCCTCTCTCCCCTTTTCATCTACTGTGTGCGGTTTTTTTTTTCTATTTTCTGTGTGCTAAAAGAAGTGAAAGAAGATAGTATTGTGAGTGTGTGTGATTGAAGAAATAACACGTCAACCAACAACAGTTTTTTGCCTGCCATTGTGGCGGGGAATCTCTCACGTCTCTGTTTTCTCCTCCTCATAGCTCCATTATTTCAAATATATTTTTACGGGTTTGCTTTACTTTACATTTTGGCCAACTTTCTATTTGGCTCACATTTGTAATGGAAAATTTTGTAAAGTTTCCTCACAAAATTTCAAAATCGAAAAAACTTACATTTCCCCCCAAAAATTGCAGCTGAAAAACCATTCCCCAAAAAATTTTCAGCATGACGTAAGAATTGCGAAAAACACAGTTTTCAAAAATCTTTTTCCCCGGTTGGAAAAATCACAGAAATCACACCAAGTAGGTAATTCTTCTCAAGATTAGCTTAGTTGGGATAGATAAGTGACCATGTGTGTGTGTCAATATATGAAGATGAGATTTAACAAATCGTGTGACTTTTATTTGTTCTTTCAACTACTATTTTTTGTTGTTGTTGGCGTTGCTGCTGTTGTTGTTTATTTTATTAAGTGTAATTTTTCAATTCTCAAAGTGTCAGTCAGCCAGCCAGCCAGCCTGAATTTGCTAACATACTGCCTGACTACAGTGGGAACACAATGAGAAAGCGCAAAGCGTACGACGCAATTTCCCAGAAAATTCTCATTGTGATGCCCTTATCAAGAGGCGTTAACAAAGGAGGGAAAGTAGGGTGGGCAGTGAGGAGGGTCTGCTAGTTGAAAAATAAATAAATAACATTTTTCCTAATTAATACTTGTTTATCTCCTGCTTAAATAATAATGGGCATGATTTAGATCTCTATGGGGACTTTGTAACCTTGTAAGGGGTACAATTGTGATTTTTACAAATTTAGCCTTGTAACTACTATCCGAATTTCTTAAAATTGTTGAAGTTCCAGAGAAATGTGACATGTTAAAACGGAATTTAACTCCAAATATAAATTAAAAAGAAAAAATCGGGTGGAAGGAGGTTCAAAGGGAGCTGTCAGTTCCAGTGCCCTTTTAACCGCATCCTTTATCCATATCCAGCGAAATATCAAGAACTACAAAAAGAACTATCCTAAACTCGAAAATTGGTCAAAGTAATGGTCCCATGTTTTTATATCATCCATCATAAAATGGCATTCCGTTCGGAACTCCTCGAAATATAGCTGGAAGCACCTTCAAACTATAAAATTCTATGTGGATTTTTCCATATCCATCGTTCTGTGGAAATCACTGCCTAAGTAACATTGAAAATGGAATATAAAGAGTCCAGATTTATAGATAGCCTTCATACAATGGTATTATTCGGTATTTGGGGTTATTGAGCCCAAATTTTCAAGAATTTTTTGACTCCTTGTGAAATTGTTTAAATGTAGGTCCACTTTTCATAGCGTCCACATACAAAGGTATCAACTGATTTTCGTTGTAACTAAATGAGCGCTTAACACGAAAATTGACCAAACTAGGTAGGAAGGATTTAAGTGACAATATAAATCTAACATTTCGAGCGGTATGGGGGTCCCAAATCCTTATATCCTCCATCATAAAATCGGGGGATGTAAAATTTGGCATTACGTTCGGAAGACCTCAAAACATTGCTTGGAAACCTCTCAAACTAAAAAATTCTATTTCAATTTTCCATATCCGTAATTCTGTCGAAATCACAATAGAGCCATCGTCAGAAAAATTTTAACTATGACATTTTACTACCTCAGCGCAAATGAAAATGGAGTATAAGAGCCCACATTTAGATATAGCCTACATACAATGGCATATCCCGATTTTCGGTATTTGGGAGGATCGTGCCTTTATTTGTTGGATATACAAGGGTTCTTCCCGAAAATTTAGGCTCTGCGAACTTATGTCATTTTTATTTGTGTTTAGTTACTCCACTTCTTGCGAGCAAAAATCAACCAATCTTAGAAATGACCAGTGGACACAATTCGAATTTTCCAACCAAATTGGAGGTATAGGGGCTCAAAAACATAGAATCCAGGTTCATGGATATTATTATAGGTGTTTTTATTTGATATATTGGCCTCCCAATAACGAAATTATAATAGCACCTTAATTGGAAACTTAAATATTCCAAGATTTGAAAAAACTTCTTATTAGGAATTATCCGACTTCAATGTTTTTTAAGGACCTTCAACACAATTTAAGTCGGTTTCTACGGTCATATGTGGTCAAACCTGAAATTTTGTTATGGGAGAAGTTACAATGAACTAAGAAGCCTATACTCTTATGGTCTACAGGAGTCTAACTCCACTACGAACTCCATATACCAAGCTTGAGATAATTCTGTTAAAAAATTGAGATAAAATCATCGAAATACCAAATATTTGAAGTAGTCATTACATATTGGATATACGAAGATAAGGACCCTTACAGACAATTTTCTGTCATGTGAAGTAGTATCCATTACGAACTCGAAATGATTCCGCTAAAAAGCGTGGCACAAATCATTAAAACAACGACTATCTGGAGGTACAGTTATAAAGGGCCTATATATCTAAATATGGACCTCTATAGGCAGTTTTATCCAAGGATGCTTCCTACATACAGCCAATTACGGTAGCTCGGCATAAAATTGTGACAAACTTAAATCTGCCAGTACAGTTATATGAAGGCTATACCAAAACCTGGACCTATATGGCACATTTTCAATACCAAAAGTCCTAAAATACATCTGAGTAAAATTTTATCAGCCCACTTCATTTCGTTCGGAGGCTGAGTAATTTCCACATATGGACAGAGAACCGAATGGACACCTGAAACATAGAATTTTATGTTGGTCAAGAATATATGAACTTGGTGGGGTCTAAAATGTATACATTGAGGTATTACAAACCCTTCATACTATGGAGAAGGCTATAAAAAACATCGTTAAAAATTCTCTGAGTCATAAGCTCACACTTGTGTATATGAACTATTAAGCAATTTTAAAAAATCTGAGGGAACAATTAGCATCCACACAAACCTCTATAATAGCTTGGGTTTTCATTGAGAAATATTACATGCATTTTAATTCATAAAGTTCATTTAATTCATTCATAAGACAATTGAATAATTTTGTAATTTTCTCCGCTCCCATCGACTTATCTATCATATTGTAATTATTGAATACAATTTAATTTACATTATTTAATTTTTTTTTCCTTTACAGTAAACCAACAACAAAATGCCACCACGCTCAACAACCGTTGCCAATAACGACGAACCTCTCGATACCACCGAGTTGGCTGGAGGTTCCAAACAAACCGGTGTTTTGTTTGAAGCTGATGCTGATACCGCCGATGGTGCCTTGGCCGCTGATATTACCCAATTCAAGAAGGCTGAAAAGCGTAAATTGAAATTGGTATGGCGTAATATCATTCTGTTCGGCTATTTGCATTTGGCTGCCTTGTATGGTGGTTATTTGTTCTTTGCCAAGGCCAAGTGGGCCACCGTTTTCTTCTGTAAGTGTCAATCAAGGATTTTAAAATGACAAACTTTTTAATAATGAAATACTTTGTTTATTTTAAAATTCTAGCCATCTTCTTGTATTCCATTGGTGTGTTGGGTATTACCGCCGGCGCCCATCGTTTGTATGCCCATCGTTCGTACAAAGCCAAATGGCCATTGCGTGTGCTGTTGATCATCTTCAATACCGTGGCCTTCCAGGATGCTGCCTACCATTGGGCCCGTGATCATCGTGTCCATCACAAGTTCTCTGAAACCGATGCTGATCCCCACAATGCCACCCGTGGTTTCTTCTTCTCGCATGTCGGTTGGTTGCTGTGCAAAAAACATCCCGATGTTGTAGCTAAGGGCAAGGGTTTGGATCTGTCCGATTTGCGTGCCGATCCCATTCTCATGTTCCAAAAGAAACACTACATGATCTTGATGCCTTTGGCCTGTTTCATTTTGCCCACCATCATTCCCATGTACTGCTGGAATGAGACATTTGTTAACTCCTGGTTTGTGGCCACCATGTTCCGTTGGTGTTTCTTGCTCAATGTCACCTGGTGTGTCAACAGTGCTGCCCACAAGTTTGGTGGCCGTCCCTATGACAAGTAAGTTCTTGCATTTGTTAATTAGGCAGAGGATTTCTAAACTAATTTTAATTGTTTTTGTGTTTTAGGAACATCAACCCCTCTGAAAACTCCTTGGTTGCCTATTTCGCTTTCGGCGAAGGCTGGCACAACTATCACCATGTCTTCCCCTGGGATTACAAGACTGCCGAATGGGGCAACTGGTCCATGAACTTGACCACTGCCTTCATCAATTTCTTTGCCAAGATCGGCTGGGCCTACGATTTGAAATCTGTTGCTCCCGAAACAATTCAAAAGCGTGTCTTGCGTACCGGTGATGGCAGCCATCATCTGTGGGGCTATGGTGATAAGGATTTGACTCCCGAAATTGAAAAGGACATTTTGACTGTCGACAAGAAAGATCTTTAAACGGAGATCGGTGAAAAGTGTCAAAACTAACGGAGACTCCACAAACTGACTCAGTTAACAAAAACAAAATCAACACAGGCTACCTACCAACATCAAGCACAAGAATAATCATGTCTACGTGTTAAAAGTTGTATTTATTAATATTTAGTATTTTTGTACTACCCCTAAGCTACTACTACTACTACTCTCTAACCAACTACAAATCTTATCTAGATACTATATTTTTTTATGAAAAAAAAAAAAGAATCCCTTGCCACTGAAAAAGGGAACATGTGATGAATTCAGTAGTTCTAACTACTACATAGTAAAAAAAAAACAATGAAACATTACCATAAATAATAAAAAAAACTCGCAATATTATTAAAAAAAAAACCAAACACCTGGACATCTCTTTCTTTCTTGATTAGCAAAAATGGCAAATACTAATCTTATCACGGCATGGTAACAATTTATGATGATGGCTGGACATGTGGCTACTGTTCTTTTGCTACCTCTGAGGGCAGCTAAAGACAACTTTGCCAATGGCTATGATAGGAAAATTCCTAAGACGTATTAAACAATAAAATTTAACATTTATATACGCAAACTGAAATGTCAAAAAAAAAATATCTCGGACACGTGAGCGATAAGACACGCCAAAACGTACGTATGTGCCAATGCATGAATACAAAACAAAAAAAGGCATCCCGACATCAATCGTCTATACTGTTTCCGATTTAGATTACCAACCATTGTTGTTTGGAATTTCTCATTGAAATATGTATCAGTCGAACGAAATTTCCTAAACTCTGACATACAATTCAAATTTGCATTTAATTCACATTTATTGGCAAATAAAAATGCAAATGCATTGCATTTGTAATTTGTTATACTTGTTGTTGCTATTGAAATTTAGCTACAAGTAAGTGCAGGGAAGCAAAAACAAAAAAAATATCAAATAAGTAAATAATGCATTATTTCATGATTATTTAAAATTATTTTTTGACTCTTCAAATAAAAACAGACATGTATATTGACCTTTTTTTGATAATTTAATAGGAAAAATAAAAGTCCTAAATAATCAAATACTTGAGTGATGCAATACTGTTAGAAAATGTATTCATCGAATAACGAATTTATTTAATTTGGAATGAAGATATTCTTAGCTGGTCATCACCATTTTTTGGAGAATATCGTTTAGATAGGGTTAAAACCTGAGAATTTTCTTATTAGGCTAAGGGATTAGATATCATTGACTTATCTCTGAACGGTTTTCGTTTAAAAATTTTGGGAATCGAAAGCGTCCTTTGTTAGGGGCCGAATTCTCTTATTCGATATTGAAAAAAAATGGACCGAAATAAATGAATATAGGGAAATTGGTTATGAGAGCAAAATTGTTTACATCCTTGCAGTTCTGGAACATATTAGAATTGAAAACTTCGCTAGAGACCCCTAAGTATCGAATTTTCGAGTTTTTATCAATGTAAAATGACCATATGGAAATTGATTTCGATCAAATTTTTCTTCGACATTGAATGCAAAAAATTGGTCTATTATTTGACCTAGTATTCGCAATCTTATTGTGTGCAAATCTCGCAGTTCAAAATTTCGAATTCCCATATAAACTCAAAAAAATGAAAGAATTCTTTCGCAATGTGCCAAATATAATTATTTGGGGATGATAATCGGTTCAGATTTATATATAGCATCCACTAGCGATGTAAACAGAAATGAATTTTGAAACAATTTCGGGGTGGACCAACTGACAACAGATTAACTTTTCCGTGTAAAATGTATAAATAATAACAAATAAGTAAATTATTGGAGAGGCCCCAGGGCGTCTGTCTACCCAGAGCATGTTGTGGAAATTGATACAAATTTAGATATAGTACCCAACCATTCTACGTGTGCCCAATTAGTGTTTGTATTTTGGATCATAGGATCAAGTTCCGACTGAAACAAAATTAAGTTTGGATCAAATCGGTTCGGATGATAACCGCCTATATATGTTCGAATTTTACTAAAGCCTTCTCAAAATTGGAGCGATTTTCAGGCGGAGTTTCTTTCTTTCTAGCGGCCCGTAAAGCTATCAAGTCATATGCCAGTAAATCGAGAGACATTCTTGACTGCAAGAAAGTTCTCATTGAAATGCGTGATTTCATTAAGCTTCGTTGGGCCCAGCAAGATAGTAAAATAGTGGAGAATGAAATGGCTGATGAACTAGCTCGACGAAATTCCCAGTAGATTGATCTACCGATAGATGAGACTGCTAAATCACCAACGAACTATTATGTCAGCTGCTTCAAAATCTTTCTCATAGAAGATGCCATAAGAAATGGCACTTGGACGATAATCTGCTAATAGCATCACCTGGCTAAGCAGACCACCCTGCTAACTATATTACCCTCTATAAACCCTTTTTTCCGATCTCGGCTATCACTAACAACTTTCTTCTTCCTATGATTAACACAATGTATTAAAGGTCTCCAAGTGAAATAGTTTCCGTGTAGCTGCATATCTTTAAACCAACCAACCCTCCAAATCATATTGTTCGATTTATAACAATGGGATTTTTTTGGTGCTACGCAGATAAATGGTCGATTATGAATCATACATCCATGAAAAGATTCCATCTTTATGACACTATTTGTTCCATAAATAATATTTTTAAAAATTGACATTTTGGGCTCTTATTATCTTTAAAAATAATTTCCAAAACAAAACGTGGTTATGACTACATTCCGCTAAAAAAAATATTTTAAGGGTTTTAAGCAAGTATTTTTACAACAAATGAAATTAATGACTCTAATCGGCCTTGAAAAATAACTTTATAAAAAATTTCTTCATTGGATTTTTCAAAAAAAAAAAAAAAAAAACACGTTCCAAATTAAAAAAAAAAAATAGATTATTTGAAATTTCTGTGGGATATAACAGAACAAATGGGGTGAAGAGAGGTCAACAACTTTTTGATAATCGTTGAATTGATTATCAGTAAAAGTATAAACTGTTAATAACTCATTAAAAAGGTTGTATATGTATGTAAGCAACAATTACGATTTTTGTTAGCACCAAATTAAAACCCAAGACAATGAATTATGAGTTTATTAAGTTTTAGTAACTTATATACCGGGCCACTACCATAAAATATAGGCTATGTAAAGTTTGTCAACGTGATTTTTTTCTAAAACCTGTATCTTGTTAAAATTATTGGCTAACAATGTAGCAATAATAACTGCATGGAAGTCATTCTAACTTCCAAACGAGTTGTTGTACGAAAATTAATTTTATTTTCGATTTTGTAGTTGTTTAGAGTTGGTTGACATGACATATTTGAGACTTTAGGCAATTAAATAGTCAATCTTATTACAATATGAATTTTTAAGAATATGAAGAAAAGGCTATATTTATTTGCAATTTAGTACTCATTTTGGCATTAGTCCCAATTTGTTGTATATTGAGGGACTTAGCAATATGATGAACATTAATTGTATTTGTCATTCAAAAAAATATTTTTAAATCAGTAAGGAAAGGTCAAAAGTTGGGCGGGGCCGACTATACAAAAACAAAAAAAAAATTATATGGCGAATTAATGTCAAGTATATCATACCAACTCTGTGACTTAGATAAGGATTATATTAAAAAATATTTATTGGAGCAATAGGAATACCGGACCAAGTTTCAGTTAAATATGAAAAAATCTATTCAATTTGGGCTGATATTACATATATGGTGAGCAATAACGTATAAAATGCTATATAAAATTTGGCAGATGTATTTTCAAGCAGTATGTGATGCTCGATATCATATATGATTGTTGTGGAGTGCATATTACGCATGTAAGAGACTTTAACACTAAATCGGATGAAACATATATATGGGAGCTATAGCTATATCTGAACAAATTTTCACCAAATTTGAAGTATTTGTTTCCATGATGAATTCGGTCGGAAGTGTCACAATTCACTTCATTTGGGCTGATATTAGCCATTTGGTGAACAATAAAAGTGAAATCGGATAAAGATATATTTGGGAGCCATATCGAAATCTGAACCGATAATAACCAATTTAAAAAGGGTTCGTCCTTGGGTCAAGCAAATAGTGTTTGTAAAATTTCATATCAATCGAATAATAAATGCGACCTGCATTTTGTTCACAAAAATGCATGGACGGACGAAGTGTCATGCATAAATCGACTCAGGAAGTGATTCTATGACGATCCTCAAACGTAACTATGGGTCTATCTTGCTTGCAAATGCACGAAAACATAATACCCTTACCACTTATCCTCTTCTATTGTGTGGTAATACAATGAAGTGGTGAAGAGAACAACGATTTTTCGGTAATCAATTCAACAACTAAAAGTATGACATTATAATAAATTATTAAAAAATTGTATATATAAAGCAATAATTTCCAGTTACTTCAGTATATAAAACCAACGACATTAAGTAATGAGTTTATTAGGTTTTAGTAATTTATATACCAGTCCACTACCATAATATATAGGCTATGTGATGTATGCCAACGATTTTTTTTTTTCAAAACCTGTATCTTGTGAAAATTATTGGCTACAGTGTAACTGCATTGAAGTCCCACTGAACATCCAAACGAGTTGATGTACGAAAATTAATTGTATTTAAATTTTTTAGTAGATGTTTAGATTTAGTTGACATGTCTGACACTATTTAAGACTTTAACTAATTAAATAGTCAATTTTATTGCAATTTGAATTTTTAAGAACATGACAAAAAAGCTTGCAAAATTTGAACTTTGAACTCGTTTTAGCTTTCGTTGTATTTTGGGGGGTACAGCAATGTGATAAATATTAATTGTTTTTTAAGTTCTAAGAGGCAGAGAAACACATTTCCAAATCACTGGTGAGCCAAAAATTAAGTCTTCTGCTTTTAGAAACATTTGTAATTTAATTTTATTTTTGATTCAGTGATGTTGGAATGGAATATCAAAATTGGTTCATTTTACTTTATTAAAGCTCAGGGGGGGGGTACAGAGAAATGTATTTCGAATCCACTTTTTAGAAGAAAAACAAAAGCTAATTTATCCATACAAAAAGTATAAATAATATCAGATTAGTAACCATGTTGGGCGGGCTTAGGTGCCAAAGCCCCCGTGGCATACGTCTCTTTGGAGATAAATTGTTCCTTTGTATAGATCCTAAAATGATTGCCGGCAAATTGTCAAATTAACCGCAACAATCTTTCTAAATTTGCAAAATTTCATTTGCAGGGTATACCAAAACGCTAAAAAAA